CCGTGACCCTCGAGGAGCCCGAAGGATCGAATTCCTGATTCGCTGGAAAGACCGTACACCCACCGAAGATAATTGGGTTCCCCTGGATAGAATCGAAAACCACCCCGTCCTCACCGAGTATCTGCGCAGCCGAAACTTCAGGGATGTACACGCACTTTCGTAAGGAGAACCTCCTTAGGGGGGGGGGGTAGTGTAAGGAAAATCCCTTTTTCCTTACTTCGCATCCCTGCTCAACGCGTACATCACTGTAGCACCACAGTCAGCACCGTTACCACTCGCAATCCTCGCATCGGCAATCCGCCCGCCACTTTCGCACGTCGCACCCCGACCTCACGGCTCGGCGGGTAACCCGCGCTCCGGGCCTCCGCTTCGACACTTTTTCCCAACCTCAGTCCCAGGCCCGTCGCGCGACAACCACAGTCCATTACCGTTACCACTATAGTTTCGCTATATATTCTTCGCTCATACCTTCGCTCATTGTACTCTTGCTTCGATAGTGCAATTCTCGTTCGTTCACTCAATTGCACTCGTAACACGTACCACGCCTGAAGCTGGTAGGGGCCGAATTTCTCCCCAAACCTGATACCGTTACAAATGCCAAAACCAACCAACACTCCTGGTGAGGAAGGTGTCCTTGTCCAATCAATGTGGTCACTGGCAGCCACGAATTTCCTCTTTACTGGACATACGAATCATGTCACTCCCACGTCCTCCACACTTTCCACTCCACCACATGTGGATGACCTGAACTGACACGTTCAACCGAATCATGTCCCTCATTCATGTTCTTCAAAAGCGGCTGCGCGCTACAATCTCAGAGCGAGAAGATTTTACGAGGATATGGTCCTTTTTTTGCAATCCATCGTGGCAAGTCACACGCCACACCTTTGATCGACTCTTGGGTAATAACCAATGCGTGTGGCCAATCGGGATTTGACTCGAAGAAAAGATTCCGTGAGCTGACTCACAAGCTGCCCGGGACACTGTAGCGAAAGTCTGCACTTTGTCATGCGTACAACAGTCGACCTCATGTCACGTGCTTCTGACGACGCATGTGCGACGGTGCGACCTCACTTTTCGCCCAGACTGGTCGCACGATCGCATCACGATTCACCATTGTTTGCAAGTGTGCTTCAATTCTTCCTTCTGCCTAAACTCCAGCCCACCCTACTCCAACCGAATCAACCTTTCCCAAATCATCCTCACCGACACATCTCTGTGTCCGACATCCGTGGGGGGAAAGTGAAAGCTCCAAGCTTTCTCGCGAGTTCCGCTCGCCGCTTCCGCCAATTTTCAACCACTCAAAGCGAGGCAGGGCAATCGGTAAGGACTCTTGCACACACAGCACTGCCGCCAATCGCTGACTCTTGTTCTCTCCTACTGTACCACTTGAGCTCGTAACGACGAACTCGAAACGACGCCGCATGTAGCGCAAGGTTGTTGTCCCCCCCTCCCTCTCGTGTACTGTAAGTGTTTTTTCTCTTCCGCAACCAAAGCCGGCTTTTCCGGTGGAGCCGTCTTTTCCATCCTTTTGGGCCAAGAGCCGTCCAAAATACGTGTGAGGTGGACCAGAATGAAGATAAAAGCAGCAGCTGACTCTCATTGCGTCTCGTCGCTTGCCTTGTCAATGCGGTACGCACATTCTCGCGCTACATTTCTCAGAGTGCGACAGAACGATTGCGTAGTCCCGCTTTCACGGGGCCCGAACGACTCGTTAGCCAGAACGTCCCCGGAACGTTTTGCAGGTCCTGAACAATCCACGCCGCCGACTTGAGTTAGCCTGGGTACCGCTACAAAAATAGCACCTACTAGGTCGTTAGGAGAAAGCTTAGGAGCAGCGCTCTCGGCTATGGCGGCCTTCCCAGGAGCGTCAGCACCGGCGCCGGTGGGGGAGAACATGACGGACATCGTGCGAGCTGATGGGCATATGTGGCTCAAGTACGGGCAGAAGAACATTCACAACACCTCCATCATTCGGTACGCTTGAAACGCCTCTCTGGCTGCTTTTGCGGCGAATGACGATGAAGCCGTCGATTCTGCGCAGCGCATACTTTCCGTACCTGTGTTTCTGTCAGCATCATGATGTCCGATCTGACGATTCCTTTCCACATCGGCTGCTGCAGGTGCTACTTCAAGTGCTACTCTTCCAAGAACAAGCCAGCCTGCCGAGCGAAGAAGACTGTCGACTACGACCGCCGCCTCCCCATCTCGTCCGCCACCACCCTAACCAACTACTCCAACCGCTCTCACAACCACTCCACTCCTCTGAACGACTCCGGCGATACTGTCTCCCAGGGATCTTGTCCTCCCAATGCCGCTGCAGATTCGACCTCCGTCGCGCAGGGATGCTCCCCCAACTCCAATTTGTCACGCGCTGCGAAATCGAGCTCCTGTAACCCTACTGCCGTGGTTACCAACCACAACGCGCTCGCTTCCCCTCCAACCATTGCCGGAACCCGCCCTGAACCATCCGCACGTGCAAGCAGCGCTCTCTCCAGAGGGGAGCTCCCGGAACCCGCCAGCTCCGGAGGTGTGGTTTCATCCTCAGGTGAAGCCGGCTCCGCTCGGCCGGACTCGCTGCCGGACGCTGGTGCCGAGGCGATTGCGGCAAATCTCTTGCCGCAAAGCATTACTTTCAGTGGCAGCAGCGGCGAGTCGGCTGCTCTGGCGCCGTCACCTGCGATCTCGTCTCTGTTCAGCTCCTGCGAATCGCTGTCAACTGAATCCGGGAATCTGAGCCCCTTTTTCGCTGAAAACTACTCTCTGGGTGGGCGCTGGCCATGTGCCGAGAAGAGGGTCCGTCTGACGCCCTATAACGAGGCAGTGTCTAATGAGGACACGAGCTACTCAGCAGGCCACCACTGGCCCTCCAGCAGTAGGGTTTTCGAGGCACTGTCTGCTGATCGGGATCAGATGCTTCTCCCTGAGCCTTGCAGCCCTCCCACAGCTGATGCTGCTGCAGGTGACGTTTCATTTGGACTCCCCCTCACGGGCGTTTCATTCGAGGAGGGCCTTGCAGCGGCGAGTCCAGAAGAAGCAAGACCACGAGGACTGGCGCATGCCGACACTTCTTTCGAGGATTTCCTCTCTGAATTGTCTCCAGAGTTGTATTCCGAGGGTTTCTGGTCTGAGGTGCCGCCTTGGCTTGAAGCAGCGGATGTGAGTCCTTCGTGGGGAGCATCGGGAATGTCAGATGGCAGTTCTTTTGATAATAGCCAAGAGCGCCACCGGATTTGCTTGAAGCGCAGTGCTTCAGCCATGCTGACTGGTACCACTGAGGCAGGGATCCTCGATGGAAGCAACCCCGGGCATGCTTGTGTGCCCTGCCCCATGCCAAAATCAAGTAGTGCGCATAGTGTGTTCAGCTTTCTGGGTGGGGGTGACACCTTGAGTGTGTCTGACTTGATGAAGCAACTGCAGCAACCATGAGCTATTGCGGATAGTTAAAAGGGCTCCGCGTTCCTATCATGAGCGCTGACTTTGGAAACTCTAGGGACTCATGTTTTTGCATGATCAGTTCATGTTGCAATGATTCGTAGATCTTTGTGGTGATTGTTGAAGCTGTCAAGGCATTTGTGAGATGATGAAATAAACCCCTTACTGTGTACCGTAGCTTCCTGGATACATGAACCAATGCACAGTTAAAAAATCATTAAAAGAAACATTTGTGTTGACATTATGGTGGACGGTGTAGTATAGGGGTGATATTCTACTCAAACGCATCTTTGTCTTGGCGACGTTTCCTCCCCAGCGCGAAGAAACCCACACCTCCAGTCGAGTGGGTGCCGTGCCGTGTTCCTGAATCCAACGGCAATTGCCAAGGGGACAGAAGTCAGATGTGGGCGCAGCGCCTCACCTCTGCGCAGCTGAGCTGACAATCACCAAAGTGCTTATCGCAACCGTCTAATCAAGGCTTTCAATCCCAGGCCGTTCGATCTGGTAGGCCAGTGAAATCAATCAGCCCTAGAGGGTGTGGTAAGAATTCGCTCATTGCGGTGGTGGACGATGTTGTGCATGTCATTTACGATTCGTTGCGTTTGGGAAGGGTTTCGGGCAAAAATGAAGCCGCCTGACACACACTGAGGACGCGTCACCTGAAGGCCAATCCTGCGATCGATCCTACGTAGGATCGATTTTTCACGTGGTTCACAAAACGTCTAGAAGTTTTGAATGCAATACACGGGTTTTTGGTGCGGTCAAAGATCGGTTTTTGCACGATCGAGCTGGAGGGGACGCGTCCGACAACACCATAACCCACTCAGCTCCACCCCGAAACACACAGCTGATACTATTGAACTCACCTCCTTCCTTCCCATCCTCGAGTTCATCAGCATCGTCGAATCGCCGTGACAACGAATTCTGGCACTACGTTTCCTCCGCAACTCAATCATACCACTCCTTCGATTCCTCGATCTTGTACCACTTTGTGTCGTTGAGGCTACGCAGCATTCTGAGATCCCTTGATCAACAGTACAGAAGCCTTATTACGGACAGCACGCGTCAATACCATGGAACCACCGTCACACATTCCCGCGGATCGCGATCGTGACCGTGATTGCGAAGAGCTTTCTGCCGAATGCGCTTCCGTCACAGCCCTCCTGGACGACGGCACGCTCTCTCTCGTCCTCTCCTTCCTCCCCTCGCGCTTCGCCATCTCCTCGGCCGCCTTAGTCTGCCGCCGCTGGTGCCGCGTCGCGATGCGCGTGTGTGTGCGATCGCTCCAACCGTCGCCCTTCCTGCTCGAGAGCTTAGCTCCGGGATCGGAGAGCATCCTAGGTAGTCTCGATTCCGAAGCGCGGATGCTAGAGTTGACGACGCGATTCGCCGCCACGCTTCGATCTCTGGAGATCCGTCCCGGCGCGAGAAACTTAATCGCCGGTGACAACGATAAGCTGACGGCCCACGGCAATGTGCGAATCCTTAGAACCGCCTCGAGGATCGAAACCCTATCTCTGGTCGGTTGCGTCGAGCAGAACTGTCCGACATTCGACTCGCTACCCATGAGCACCTCAGATTTTGCGACGGTGGTGTTACCAGCCCTGCCACGTCAGCTCAAGCGCCTGGATCTCCGCTCGGACCACTTTCTCTGCCCTGCCGCGTGCGTGGACCTGCGGGGGTTCTGGTTAAGCCCTTGCGATGATCCGGAGATCACATACCCGAGCCATGATCGCGTGTGGGGCCACGCGGACGGCATTCAGCTTGCCGGCTCGTCCACCATCCCACCTCCGCCGCCTCCGCCCCCTCCGCGTGCCCCTGCGCCCCCTCCTCCTCCCTCTCGCGCCGTTCCTCCCCCACCTCCTTCCGTTCCTCCTTCTACTGCTACTGTCCCTCCTCGCTCTACCTCTTCCCTCCCGCCTCCCCCCCCTCCGCCTCCCCCACCTCCTTCCCCATCTCATCCCCCGCCTCCTCCCCGTCCGTGCGTCCTGCACCACCCACCGCCTCCCCGTCCGCGCCCCCCGCTCCCTCCACCGCCTCCGCCCCCACCGCCTCCGCCCCTCCCGCCTCCCCCCATCCGAAACCGTCCGCCGCAGCGCTCTTTCCTTACCGACCTCCACGTCAACACCATCGCCGCCTCGCTCCCTAATCTCCGCACCTTGAACCTCGACACGCCTGCGGACATCACGGCCGCGTGCGTCGAGCACGTGGCCAGCACACTCCCGCATCTGACGGCGCTCTCGCTCTGGTCCGACGCCGTCACGTGGGAGTCGGCGGCGCTGCTCCTCGCGCTCCTCCCGTCGCTGCAGCGCCTCTCCCTCGTGTCCGGCGCGCTGGTTCCGCGCGCCTCGCCCCAGCCGGGGCGCGCAGAGGCGGGTGCAGCAGCAGCGCGGGATACTTCAGCGAATGCAGCCGCTGGTGCAGAAGCAGTGGGGTCGGATGCTCTATCTATCTTCGCCTCGCTCTCCCTTGCCCCCCCCAGTGCCGGCGACCCCTTCTGGTGCCCCTCAGGGTCGTCCCTGGCGCCCTGCCTCGCCTCCATCCGCCTGTGCGTCTCCCCCCATCGCTCCGTCGCCTGGGATCAGCCTCCCGCCTCCTCCCTGCTGCTCGCCCTCGCTGCTGGCTGCTCCGCCACCGGCGCAGAGAAGGATACCAACAGCAGCAGCGGCGGTGCCAGCGGTGGCGGCGGCAGCGGCGGCGGCAGGAGCCGCAGCGGCAGGAGCAGCAGCAGCGGCAGCAGCGGCAGCGGCAGTGGCGCGAGCCTGTGTGTCCCACGTGCGTCCTCCTCCTCTCTGCGCTCCTTCCACGCCCACAATTCCCCCGCGTCCACATGGCTAGCTGTAAGCCACCTGTTCCGCCACCTCACCACCCTGGATCTGTCCCGAACCGACGTGTTGCGTCCCCCACCCCCTCCCGATGGCGAGCCAGGGAGGAGCGAGGAGGCACTCTGCCGGGCCATTCGCGGCCTGCCTCTCCTGGAGCGCCTGGCCCTCCCCCTGGCGTCAGACGCAGTTCTGCTGGAGATCTCCCAGTCCTGCCCGAAGCTCACCGCCTTGCACGCGCAGCCGCTAGCTCGGTTCGTCCCTGTCGCGTCTGCTGAGGGGAGTGGCAGCAACGACTTTCTCTACTACACGTCCGCCTATGCCAGGGCCTCCGTGCGTGTTGCCCTTCCTGCTGTCCAGCCGCGAGTGACTGATGCTGGGGTGCTGGCTATTGCGAACGGATGCACGCGATTGGTGCAGCTGAGTCTGGGCGGCTGTGTGAACGTGGGACCAGTGGGGCTGCGCCAGCTGGCGAGGCGATGCGGGCGGCTGGAGGTGCTGAGGCTGGCGCGCACACGGGTGGACGATGCCGCTGTCGTGGCGGCGCTGTTTGGCGACAGCTGGCACGGCGGCGTGGGTGTAGCTATGAATGCTGCGGTTGGCAGTGCTGCTGCCACTGCTGCTGGGGCTGCTCCTGATATTCCACCTGATTCTGACGCCACTGCTGGTGCTGGCAGTGCTGCCGGTGCGCCACTGCAGCTGCAGCTGCCACGGCTCCTTCTGCTGGACCTGTTCGGATGCCCTAGCGTGACTTCTGCCCTCCTGCTCGCTCTCTCAGCAGCAGCCAGGGAGCTTGCTGACAACGATGAGAAGACCAGAGATGAGGGTGTGGGGCATGAGAAAGGAAGGAAGAAGGTGAGAGGATGCTGTGGGTTGCAGGAGTTCAGGCTGCGGCGGCTGCTGGTGTCTCCTGAAGTGATTGGTGGAGATTGGTGGAGTGGGAGCAAGGACGGTGGTTGCGAAGGTGTGGTGGGGGGTGGAGGAGATGGTGGGGGAGTGGATTCTGGTTCAGACTATGTGGATTCTGGTTCAGACTATGGTTCTGATGGAGGAGACAATAATGGAGGAGATGGTGGGGGAGATGGTGGGGGAGTGGGTTCTGACTGGTATGTGTATTTGAGGCTCGTTGCAAGGGAGGTGGGGATGCTGCTGCCCAAGTTGGTGGTCACTGCTAGAAGGACTGCGGAACATGTGTTGCCGTGGGATGGCTTCTTTGGGGAGCGGAAACTTGAGCTGGATGGTGACGATGATGAGAGTGAGTGAGAGTGCTTATGCACATAGATATTGTGCATTGTGAAATGCGAGAATACCTTCTCCCTTCTACAAGTGAAAGAGGGGAAATGGGGGGGGCGCTTGAAGAGCAGCTTCGCCTTGGCTGCATTGATCCATTGGGATGCATGAAGCCTGGTTTGCTGAGTAGTAGTGTCTGTGTGTTCACCTTGATTGCGAGCAAGTTTGGGTTTGTCGTGTGTTGATGCTTTGTCCTTGGTTTGCTGAGTAGTAGTGTCTGCGCGTTTACCTTGATTGTGTGCAACTTGGTGTTTGTAGTCTGTTTTAGAATGGCTGGATTGGAAGTGTTATTCTGAATAAATAGCATGAAACACGAAACCTTCATAACACTATCCAATCAGCTCAGAAATGCACAAACACTCATTCCACAAACACTGAGCCCATCCAAATCAATGTTCCACTCAACATGCCCTCCTCAAATGCACTGCCATGCCATGCGCAACAGCATCACCTAAAATGAGAAGGGGAAATTTCCCCCTCTTCCGTAGCATGAACGTGCCTCACACAACTCTCCTCCTCAGCGAGAGATCGGCTGCACCACGAGGGGGGACCGCACGCTGTGGCCCTGGTCATCAGCCCACACTATATACCCGTACTTGAACTCATTACTGGGTGTATCCACGGTGAAAGTCAACGTGTAGGTCCACTTCTTCCCGGGAGCCAGTGTGAGGCTCTTAGGCCCCACATTCACCTTCACCCCCTGCGGCGCCTTCCCAGTTACACTGTATGTGGACTGGGTCCCGGCCACGTTGGTGACGGTGCGTGTGACCTGCAGAAGTCCCTGCAGGCAGGGCGGAGTGATGGTGGGCATGTTGAGGTTCCGGGCAGCCAAAGGGGAGAGCGCCATCCCTGGGAACTCCTTTTTCGCGCGGTTGAGGTCCTGTCCTGTGCTCCCTTGCTCTTGCTGGTGTCGCCTTCGATGCAGAAAAACAGCGATTCTTATCTGTCATTATATTGTCCCTGCGCCTATAAGATTCACTCAGTTACGGCGCACCTACTAAACTACGTAGGTAGAGTGAATGATGAGGATTAGGGTGGGGGGGGAGGGATACAATAAGAGTGTCGAGGGTATTGTGTGTACCCTTTATGGTGTACTCACTCAAGCCTATCTAAACTATCTAACATATGGCCAGAAGAGCAGTCAAGAGAAGCAACAAGACAACACAGTCCGAGCACAAGCAAACGGTCACAAGGCGAGTTCAATTGTTCACAATTGTATATATTATTGCAAGTATAAACAGAGCAAAAAACAAGAGGCATGACAATAGCAACCGAGGGTCCGCCTCAACAAGGCCTAGCTGTAGACGGAACGTGTGGTGGTCACCAGGCGGAAGGGAAACTCTAATCGCAATAACTTTATACCAAGTCTGGCTGGAGTGATGTGAAGCTGTCTTCAGAGGACGCAGATTCAGAAAACAGAAATGTATTGAATGATTCACCTGGGTACAACCCGAGGCTATATATAGTCTCCACACAAGGGCCAATAACCAGGTGTTATATGAAGGTTCCGAGGATTGCGAAGCGTCTTGAATTGAGCCTTTCCGAATTCGATAGAAGGCAATTCGGTGGCAACCGAAAAGCCTGGAATTTGGTGCACGCATCCTAGTTCGGTGCTATAACTATATTATAATATAAGAAAGCGCCTAGCCTAGGAAATCAAGCAAAAGCATGCATGATACAATAACCCTAAGCTATATAAAGCATAATAAAGTCAAGGCAAGCAAGCAAAGCAAACACTAGCAATCGTACTCTCACACGTCCCCCCCTCAAAGCTGGGTGGCGTGAGAAAAACCCTGCTTGATAAAATAGTCCTTGAGAGCATGGCGTGCGTTGCCCATATTAGTTTCTGCAACCCAACTTTCCTTCGAGGGGTCGTATCCCTTCCAGCGTATCAGGAACTCGAGCGTCTTGCCACCGCGGCGCTGATAAGTAAGAACGGGTTCCACCTCGTACTCTGGTTCATCCTGTACGAGCACAGGGGTTGGTGGTGGTAGTTGCCGTCCCTGGAACTGATGGTATGGCTTTAGTAGCTGAACATGGAAAGTGTTGTGAAGCTAATCTAGTAGGCAAGCACAAGCAGAATGTTACTAGAGTTACCATCGCCTCAACGCGAAGGAGACCACAGAAGCGAGGTCGGAGTTTGGACTGTAGATGAGACAGGTCCAAGTTGCGTGTGTCAAGAAGCACCTGATTCCCGACTGCTACAGAGTAATCATGTCGCTGTCGATCTGCATACGGCTTTTGTAAGTTCTGCAACGTGTTGAGTCGTCGCAGAGTCTTCTCCCATAGCTGCTGCATGGTGGTGACGAAGTCGTGTGCGGCTTGGACGTGTGCCGGTGTGGTTGGCTGCCGCGGTGTAAGTGGTTTCCTTCCGTAGCATAAGAAGAAAGGAGATTTCCCTGTGGCTGCATGTGACGCGTTGTTGCAAGGGAACTCAAGTGTCGGTAATTGTAGATCCCAGTGGCTGATGTCATCTTTGCAAGCTCTGTGTAGTAACTACTCAACCACTCGGTCGGGATAAACTGTTCCTTTTTAGAGAACTTGTCGATCACTACGAGTATGGTGTTATGCCCTCGTCGGGTCGAAGGAAGCCCTGTGATGAAATCTAGACTAATGGCTTGCCATAGCTGTTTCGGTACGAGTAGAGGCTGAAGTAGTCCTGCTTTTTTCTGCTTGCTACTCTTCATCCGCTGGCACGTGTCGTATGAGGTGATGAATTGCTGCACGTCTGCTGCCATACGGGGCCAGGGGTAATACTTCGCTATCCCTGTTCACGTAGTGTTGCTCCCGAAATGTCCCGCGTATGCTACGTCGTGAAACTCCTCCAGTAAGTTCTATCAGAGTGGGGCATATTTCGGTACCCAAATCTTTCCTGAACCCTTCCTTGCAACTAAGTCTTTCTCCCACTGTAACAGCTTTTGTTTCCGTGCTGTGGCAATCTCTGCGTCCACGGAGTACCCATGTTGGAATAGACCCTTGAGCAAAGGGTTCATACCGTCGAGCTGGATGCCTGCTACATGACCGGGGTGGCTCAATGCATCAGCTGTGTTATTTAGCCCAATCTTCTCGATGATGTCGTGGTGGAAATGGGTTTCGAGGAAGTCCATCTACCGCACATGTCGTCATGGGATCGCAGGCTGTGACTTGAGGTACTTGAGACTACAGTGGTCAGTGTAAACTGTAGTCTTGGCTCCCTTGAAGTAACACCTCCACGCCTTGAAGGCTGTAACTCTCGCTAAGGCTTCCTTGTCATGGATTGGGTAGTTCAGATCTGCTCTGTGTAGCTTCTTACTGAGGCTGGCGATGTGCTGCAAATCGCGACCATGATCCTTCATACTGCTCCGCATGCCTAGTCACTAGCGTCTGCTTCCACCATGTAGTCCCTGTCTGGATCCAGTAGGATGAGTACAGGCACTGTAGTTAGTGCCGTCTGTTTTTGCTCCATGGCTTGCAGTTGAGGAGTATCCTATTTGCGGGGCGTATCATTTTCCAGTAAGTTCGTAAGTGGTGCTGCTACGTACTGTGGCACGAACCTGTTGTAGTAGTTGGCAAAGCCTAGGAACTGCTGCAACTCCTTCACGTTCTCCGGAACTTTTCACTTTTTGACGGCTTTGATGTTTTGCGGGTCCACGTGTACGCCCTCTGCACTCACCATGTGCCCGAGAAACTGCACCTTCTTCAAGGCGAAGTCACTCTTCAACAGCTTCACGTAGAATTTGTTCTTCCGCAGGATCTCGAAAACTTTCCGCAGATGCTCCACGTGCATTGCAGAGTCAAAACGACATCACTAAGTATTCATAAGAGCCATGTCTGGTACGAAACGCCGTCTTGTGGATTGAATTACCTACCATCTTGAACTGCAAGAAGTCCAATCGTAGGTCTAGCCTCGAAAACACCGATGCACCACGTAGTTGGTCTAGAAGATCGTCAATACGCGGTATGGAGTTCTTCACTGTCTGTTTGTTCAGTGCCTGGTAGTCGATGCACATCCGTAAACTACCGATCTAGGAGTGAAGAAAATTTTTGTGCCGTAGGGAGAGGTGGATGGACGGATCAGTTGTCTGTCAAGTAGGTACTCGATCCGTTTCTTCATGTATGTCAGTTTGGTTGGAATAAGGCGGTATGGTGCACAAGAGATGGGTTTTGCACCTGGTTCCTCCAAGATCTCGTGCTCGCGGGCTCGCGCTAGAGGTACTCTTGTACGCAGGTCGTCTGGCATGATGGCTTTGTATTCTGCTAACACCTTTGGTACTGCTGCAAGTAGCTCCGAGTTCGGCTTCTCCTCCTTTGCTACTGCCATAACCAATGCTAAGTAACTCGTGTTACTCTTGTTCACCGTCCGTTCGAATCGTGCAGTGTCGTTTCAGGAACGCCCTCTGGATCCGTCCACCTTCCCAGCTCCACTCACTTCCTGTTGTTTAAGATGCTCGCCTTCCGGTTGACCCAGTCTATCTTGGGGTTGAACGGTTTCAAAAAATCACACCCCAAGATCAAATCTAGCCTTTTGATGTTCGTAATCGGCAACGTTGGCTTCTATCTCAACGCACCTATGTGCAGCTGCAGCGATGCTTCGCCGTGGGTGGGAAGCTTCGTATCGTCCACCATCGTTGTTGTGAACCGGGTCTCCTCCGAGGACTCTCCAACCAACGTACCATGGTTGCACACTGAGTTAGGACGCTCCACTGTCCACCAGAGCCTGGAGGCGCCGCCCTTTACATAATACCTCGAAGATTAGTGGTTTCTGCTGCGCTGAGTAGCCAAAGATAGTCTCGTTAATAGGATCAAATGGTACATCAAAATAGTCATTATCCCTGTTTCCTATACCTAACACATCACTCTTAGCTTCCAATTTCACCTGGGGGGTAGAAGGATTTTTCCGAGGTTTTAATAACTTCTCCTGAGCCTAGAACCTTCCCCTAAGCCTTTGCAGCTGTGTAGGCTTCACCTATGGGAAATGGGGAGCCTTAACACGG